CACACACACACACACACACACACACCTCCCCCTACATATAAACACGTCTCAATATTCACTCCTGTCATTCCCAAAACAGCTCAGACGCACAAAACAGATCCTCTCGCAACGAATTGGCCGCGTTGTTGATAACGCAGGTTGCAAGACCCGGTACGTTTCAATTTGATGTCGCACCAGATTCTTCGTGGGGAGGAAGGTGAGGGGTGAGGAACTGGGGAGAAACCTGTTTGCACCGAAAGTAAAACTGTCGGAGAAAATAAAGAATCGTTGCACACTGCACCGAGAATGGGGGATTGGGGTGGGGATTGGGGTGGGGGAGGGTTATCACATGTCAGGTGGGGTAAGACGAAAGGTAAAATAGACTGATTTCTTTTTTAATTATTTTTTTTTCGGGAAGGATGGTCGGATAGGGGGGGGGGCAGGGGTTAAAGAGGAAGTAAGCACCTTCAATATATTTTATTTTATCGTCTTTACCATAGAAAGAAAAGATGCATTACATGCCTCTAAATAACATAAGTGGTTTCAAAATGTATGGTAGAGGCTGTTGAGTTTTAGTCACTGCGATATAATAGTCCCGAGTTACCCGCAACACAATCGAATGAAAGATGCATTCATTTTTTAATTTTTTTTAAAGAAAGAGAAGCTGACCACATCAACGACGCTCTGATATCGTAAGGAAGAAAAAAACAAAACCCTCTCTGACGTTGTAGTGTCATGAATTTGGTGAAATTTACCGCGGTAGACGCGAGTCTGGTTGCATGAAACAGCAATAAAGACAGAGAAAAAAAGGACCGTGCACCTTCCACAATAAAGATAAGAGGGTGTCTTGTTTTAAATCTTTGTTTCGTCTCCGGAGAGGAAGATAGAAGGCCTATGGCTGTGCTGAGTCTGGTATGCGGGTATGTGCTGGTGTGGGCGATGTTCACGATGTTTAAATGGAACTTTACTGGGATTTTTCCGTTAATGCAGCCCATCCTGTTTCGACAATAAACGAATGTCTGCTTCCAGACTTTCTTTGCTATCTGTGTAAATTTTAGACCCCATGATAACTTTCTGGGTACATTGTTTTCTTTATGAGTGTTTTCCCACCTGTTTTTATCTTTAACCTGTTTTAGTTTTTTAATGAGTGACAACACGCACGTATTTATTGAATAAATTGTTCATATAATTAATATTGGAAGTTGAATCTACTCTCAGACAGTTCATTTATCTTTTCGGGGGAAAATAAGATAAGATAAGACCAATTTCATTGATTTTCTAGAGAAATTTTGGGCGATTATACCAGAACATCACCGTACAAAGATTCAGCGTCAACACACAACTGCTCTCACTGCTTTCAAGCACACTGATACACATACAACGATGCACAATGCACGCAACTAAGCGAAATGTTTCACAAAATATAATTCTACAATACTTTAAACCAAAGTCGTGGTGTAGCTCTTCGCTGTCGCACGCAGGAAACCCGAATTCGATTACCGAGAAGGGAGAATTTTTATGGAGCATCTCGGTCTTTCTGCTGAGATTTGGAACCATTCTCAGACCTTTTTGGACTCTTTTTGTATGTGCTGGTGTTTTACGGCCCGTGATACTGCAAAAGATCATATGAGCGCGCGGAACATTTTAAGCATTTTCATTTTGGTAGGAATTAATTTCGAAATATGCCAGGCAGCAGCCGAAGCCTAGTCGTGTCGATTTTAGAACTAGAGGTCTTTAACCTGCATAACTTGCACTCGGGACCCATGTAATTTTTTACACCCTTATATCCGAGAACGTTAGGTGTTAGGTCCTACCTACCTTAAGATCAAGGGTGTGGCTTAAAAACAGCAGTAAGAAGCAGCCATGGAGTAGCAGTTGAAAGGCTGCAGAAAGAGTCATGAGCCTTGAGGAGGGGGCAAAAGGGCGGGGGGGGGGGGGCAGAGAGTGGAGTCGAAAGGAGACGACAGAATATGGATATTGAGCAGGGAAAGAGGTGGAAGAAGATAATTTTAGAGAAGAAAATTTTCCATCGCCTTCAGGTTTCGAAACTCAGACCTTTTGAACCAAAGGCGAACACGCCGTACTCCTAAGGCCTTCTGACAGTCATAGTTGAAGTCCGCTTCCGAAATTATCAAAATTGCGCCTATGAGGATGTAGAAAAATCATTCATTGAAAAAAAATATATATTCAACCCAGGCCGAAAAAGAAATGTAACGTGTTGCCTTGTCTAACTTTGCCCTTCCTCCAATGTTTCCTTCAGCTTGCACTGCGGGAAAATAAAACACATGCATACCGTAATCTAATTAAAATCTTGCTCACCGAGAAGGGTCACATACATCTCATCTTATCAAAAGCTCAAGGTGATTTTTAAAAAGTTTCTTCTTCATAATTAAAGCAACTACAAAAAAAAAGGTAATATCTCAATATTATTATTTTCATCTGCGCGTCGTTTGAGTGTGCTACTGGTAGGTTATTCGTAGAAAACGTCAGTTTACAATGAAA